AGGTGAGGACTGAATGGCCTGGAAGGTGGGGGACCCTGAACCCAGGTGTTAACGAAAGGCAAGGGCCTGCCAGCCAGGTGAGCAGCACAGGGCCCAGTGTGCACTGGCAGAGCAAGGCTGACACAGGGTCCTCTGCCGTCACCAACGATGCCTCTACCTGAAGGCAGGAAGAATGCACAGAGCCAGTTTTGAAATCCTCGCCAGTAGGGCATGTTTCTGGAAGCTCCTGGCTGCCCACTTTGTTTTATAGTCTCTAGCCTGTGTTCTGTTTTATTCCATTCTATTCTGAACTGGAGATTGAACCCAAGGCCTTTGCACTGAGCTACATCCCCGGCACTTTTCTTGTTTTTAGTTTGAGACAGGGTCTTGCTTAGTTGCTGACTTGCCCCGGTTGGGAACAAATATATAAGTCTTCTGCCTCAGCCTCCCAGAGTGCTGGGATGACAGATGTGTGCCCCATGCCCCGCTCTCCCTGGATTTTTGTGGAGCTCCTTCAAGGTCTCCCTAACGCTGTGACCTGGTGGCCTGGAGATGGAGGAGGCCCCTCAGCCACGTGAGCCCTCAGAGACGGCTGTGGGGCACCTCAGGATGAGGCCTGGTGACTGGGATTCTGATCTCAGTGTTTTCTCGGGGGAAAGAACACTTTAACCTCAGTTTTAAAATGAGCATCCTGTTTGTGTCACGTGAGAGAGTGGTCTGTGAACTTGTTCTGTGTCTCTGGCTGGCAGGTCGTTGTGGACTGTGCAATCATAGTTTTTGTTGGCTTTGTGAGCTGTATGTGTGAAATACTTGTTCACTATACTTTGCAGAGGAACGGATGCCATATTAACCTAATGTTTATGAAATTAGCTTCATATACAAACCAATGCTGACATTAGTTTAACTTTCTGTATCCTATGTCCTGGGCAGTGTTGCAAACCTGTGGTTTTCTGGTGAATGAAATGAAATTTTGGAGAGCATTTTGATCTGAACAGTTTGATAAGATTTGAGATGATTTTTCCTGACTGTAAGTCACAGCTGCCAATACTCAGGTGTCTCAGAAACAAGGGGTGGTTCCAGATGAAAGAGGCCTGGGGCTATGTATATTCCTCAGGCCTTGTTGTGGCCTGTTTTATGGAGCACAGGCTCTTAACAGCGCAGCTTAACGACTTAGTGGGGCTCCTGGCTTGTGTCAGCTCCAACTAGGGAAGGGTCAGGTTTCACAGGGCAGCGTGGATTGTAAAAGCAGAAACAAAGTCCACGGAGGAAATAAACTGAGGTTCGCATAGGACACACAGAAGTTTGCTGTTTCAGTAAGTGCAGACTATGTTGGTAATACTGGAAATTATTTCCAATCTAAAATTCTGGAGGACTCTGCATTCATTGGGCGGGACACATTGGTTTACTTAGCTAAGGCCCCACTTGAAAAAACAATCAGAATAGGGCGGGGACAACTCAGGGTGAGCACTGGCTGGAGGCCCACACTCCGGGCTCAGTCCCTAGTACCACACACACACATCAGAGGGGAAGGAGACTTGCTGGGAAAGCATACTGAGGAAATATTTCATCTGGCATGCCTTTCTGAAAGTTTTAAGTTTGGATACAAAATTTTATGTAATTTAAAATATTTTTCAAATCCATTTTTATTTCAAGGATAAAAAGAAAAAAATGCAACAAAATTTCAAAGCACATCGATCAGGATGCTATAATTTTAAAATTGAAAATGATTTTTACTCCAAATACTTTCTCCTGTAATTTTCAGTTTAAGGAGAGAATGAAGCACAGAGCACAGGAGATGTCCACCTGGAGAGCAGGATGTTAAAAGAACTAAAAAGGCAGAGTAAAGTTAAGGACTAGGTGGGTGCTTGTGCCACTGAGCTATTTCCCCTCCTACAAAGTAAGCTCGAGGCCACCCTGAACTGCATAGAGAGACCCTGTCTCAAAAATGACAATCAATCAATCAATAAATAAATAAGTTAAGGACCAGGGATTTCATCAGTCAAAATTTATGTAAACTCTATGTTCAGCTCATGCCCCAAGAGGTGCAAATATGTATGTGAATATATACATCATATACACTGATATAAATCAGTGTGTATTGTAATTATCACTAATTTCCTTTAATGATGCACTTCTGTAGGAAAAACTGTAAGAGAAGGAAATTAAAACCCCCATTCATAGTCCTGCAGGTGCAAGCCTGACCTGGTCACTCATCTCTTGCTGACCTGTCTCCCCTTACACAGCATGGACTTGGTGGGTTTTGACCTCTGCAAATAATTTACTTGTGCATATTCAACATGGGAAAACAACTTCCGTTTCTCTGCATTTTATGCACCTGTGTATAAAAGCTGCATATATGTGGCCTAGTTGAAAATAACAGAAAATTTGAACCCTCCCTGCACCCCACCTGCATTGAGGCCTCAGAGAGTGCATTTCCTTTGCTGACCATTCTGTGACTTTGGTAGCCACTGTGATAGAAGCTCCAGGAGCTTACTGGCAGCTGAGGTCCGAGCCATTGATTTAGAAATCAAGATTCACAGACATGAAGCTGCGAGCACTGCAGCTGGGCTGACCACACCCTCACACGAAGCTCACCAGGTCTACTGGCCTCCCTCATGGCCAGCATGGGCCAGCCTCCGTGTCCCTGGAGCCGAGGACTTCAGAACACAGTTCCTGCCCTGTCTCTCCTTGCACACCTTGGACCACTCATCCCCTGCCTTAGTAGCTCTCTCTCCTGTGCTTTGCACAGGCTCTCTGCGACTCTTATTAGGCGCTTGACTTTGTGATGATTAGAATGTGTGGGGCAGCCTGGCACAGTGGTACACTCCTAGAATCCCTGCACTCTGAGGCAGGAGGATTGCAAGTATAAGCCTAGCTTGGGCAAATAAAGGACTTCATAAGAACCTGTCTCAGAATATGAAATTTTGAAAGGGACTGGGGGTGTATCTCAGTGTGAAGACCCTGGGCTCAATCCCCAGAATGGAGGTAAGGGGTGGGTTAGAGCTAGAACAGTAATAAAAAAATGTAACTGAAAAAACTAAGATAAACTGTTTTTAAAACAGATTTAAAAAGTATTCAACCCTTATGTCGGTTTTAAACTGAGGTAGTTTAGTCCAACTTACATTCTTTCCTGTGCAGAGATAGGGTGGAAGTCTCGGCTTCTGAGTCCTAGCAGGCAGGTTAAGGTGTTTACTCTGCTGGAGACTGGGAATCTAACCCCGCCTGACCCAGGTGGAAGCCAGGGCACTTGTGCTCACATCAAGCATCAAGAGCCAGGTGCAGAGGGGGTGCTCACATCCCTTATTTTCCACAAAATTTCCAGTGTCTCGAACTTTCACTCACGAGGGAGTCCACACAAGGACCCTGGAAGCCAACTTTGAGGATTGAGGTCACCACTTAATGGGCTGGGAACCTTGAATATGTTACTTAAAGTGCTCTATGCCTCAGTTTCTACAACTAAAAATTGAAACCATAATAGCTGTGAGGATTAAATAAACTAGAGTGTGCTGTGTAATGCAGAATCTGGTGGGAACACTATTGTTGGGCTGTTGTTATCCAGTCATTATTAAGCTTCTTGACCTGCATTGGATGCATCAGTTCTGGTGAAAACTGGAAGGGGATCGGAAAGTACCCTTTGATGAGCTGGAGGATTGACCCATTTATCCTTCAGTCCTCAGAATTCCCAATTCCATCATTCAGCAGTGCGTTCCATGCCCAGGGGGAATTTGGGCTGTGTGTCCTGAGGGGTGCTGTACCCTGAGCCTCCTAGTCACTTAGCCCAGCGTGGGGGAAGCCCCAGGCATGGAATCCAGAGACTCACACTAAGCTGCATCTCCACCCCACATACACCCCTTCTCGAGACAGGATCATCCAACTGACCAGGGCAGTCCTCAGACTTGTAATCTTCCTGCCTCAGCCTCCTAGAGTGTTGAGATTAGAGGTATGTGCCTCCATGCCTGCATGAGTTTGATGTTTTTGAATAGTGGTTTTAAAACATTTTAGTTGCATTCTTTATTCTCTTAAAACTTACTGAAAACCCCAAGGAACTTATTTTATAAATAAAAGTTTTTGGCTCATGTTTCATAATACTTTTGAAGCTTTAAACTGAGAAGCTTAAAAGATAATACACATTAAATGAAACTTGTTGCTATAATTATTTTCCAAAGAAAAAGTAGTTTTGATGTGACTGGGCTGGAACACAGGGCTTCTTCACACCGGGGCTTCCCAGAGGAGCAGGGATGGAGTGCGGTATCTAGGGGACAATGCTGGCGCCAAAGGTCGCTGGTCACTGTGGTTGAGGAACGCATCAGGGTGAATCCTTAAGCTTGCACCTTGCCAGGATGCAATTCTCCTGCGGAGAAGCCATTGCCCCATCCATGCTACAAGCCAAGAAGTGGGCAATGGTTCTGCCCCGTGCAGGCTGACCTGGCCCAGGCCCTCATTCTGGTAACCAGCCAGTGGGACACGGCCCGGACCCTGCCTTCCAGGCCAGCTGGCTCAGAGCGAGGCAAGGCTCCCTGAGGCCGCATGCTCCTGGCCTCCTGGGAATGCAGGGTGCACCACACCCGCACCGGGGCTGTGCCTGGCGCCCATGAACCCAAGTCCCAAATTTCCACATCCTCTGACCCCCAGGAGCATCCTGTGAGTGCACTGCCCTGACTTGCTGCCCTTCTCTAATCTTGGAGGTGGTGACACTACCAGGGTGAGGGTGCTGCACTGCGCAGCTCGCATCACACACTCTGTTGTTTATTTTGTCCATGTGTGTTATGTTAATCTCTTCTCTCCAGACAGATGGTTTCCGGAGAGGTTGTTTAGAACTGAATTATGGGAAAGACCTCACTCCCCAAGCTGGCCCCAGCCTGATGGTGTTCACAGGTTACTCTCTGCAGTTTCTTTGTAATACTCGGTTCAGGTTGCTCTCACATGCGAGCAGTTCCAGTCCTGAAACTGTGCAGCATAGCATGATTTCTAAGTGTAGCTACCAAGTGCTCATTCTAGATTTGCCCAATTTTATCCTGTAGCTATTTCTGCATTTGAAATTCAGCCAGTTTCCACGGAGGTCCAGGAAGGGGGAGTTGCAAGGTTTACATGCAAGATTTCATCAAATCCTCCTGCCGTGGTGACATGGGAGTTTAACCGGACCACGCTGCCTGCGACGACCGACAGGTGAGCAAGGTGCTAGTCTCTGGAGGTGGCACAGGAGGTGTGCAGACTTGCTGTGCGGGTGGAGAAGAAAGGACCGTGGTGGAGCCTCTCCCCTGACTGCAGGAGACATTGCAGACTGGGACAGAGAATACTAGCACCGGTGCCTCGTGTGTGGGCCTGATTCCTCGTCCAGGCAGACCTCAGACCCATCCGTATGCACATACACATGCACACTCGCGCCCCTCAGGCTCTGAGGGTCACTGAGGCTTAGGGATCAACAAATTGTTGGTAACTCCTAAAAGCTTGATTTCTGAGCTAATCCAAAGTAGGCAGAAAGCATTTGCTAAAATGTGAAAACAGTAAGATGAAAATTTATTCAAGGAAGTGCATTATTAAAAATTTATATCCAGGTATATCTTGGAGAAACCATAGATGCTAATAAGTAAAACATTAAGAGTTTGAAAACAAAACATACTGAATACTCAGCCATCTACTACTCTGTAATTTCAGGTGAGACCCTGAAGAATTAGATTTACAGATGTCACAAACCCTGCTGTACAGAATTATTGACATCTGAAAGCTCTATAGACCCAGATGAAAGCTGTGGATCCAGTTAATTTTTTTTTGTTTGTTTGTTTTGGGAGTGCTGGGTTTTGAACCCAAGGCCTTGTGAATACCTCGCCAGCACTGTCCCTGGGCCACACCCTAGACCTGGCTCATGTGCCACGAGGCCTCTGAGGCGTTGCTTCTGGCCCCGGAAGAGGGACAGAGTGTGTTCATTCCTGGCACAGGTTGTGTTAAATAAGATGCATGCTATAGCAAGCTGACCTCTGTCTCTTCTCATGACAGGATGGCTGCCCTGCCCACAGGAGTGCTGCAGATCTATGACGTGGGCCCAGGGGACATGGGCAGCTACCGCTGCGTGGCCGCCACCATGGCCCACAGGCGCAGGAGCGCTGAGGCTGCACTCACCGTCACCCCAGGTAGTGCTGGCGCAGCATCTCTGGGCCCTGAGATTGCAGGAGCACCTCCACCCTGCAGTTCCTCTGGCGAGACAGTATCCCTCCCGGGGGCAGCATTCTAGCTTCAGTTACCTTATAATCTATTTGGGAAATGGGCATTTCTGTCTGTTAAGCAACTGCTTGCTCCCAGGCTAACTTGTTTTATGTTAGCTTTAAGAAAGGCTGGGTAGTGGGGATTTAGCTTAGCAGTATAAGTGCTTCCCTGGAAAGCTCAAGGTCAATGAGTTTGATCCCTGGTACAAAAAAAAAAAAAAAAAAGATTGTGTATTCATTTTATAAGTATTTCTCTTTTGTTTTTTAAAATTATAAAATGCAGAAAGTACGAACAACAGGAAGCAATAATCTCTTGGCCCCAGAATTGTTCATGGTTGATGTTTCCAATCTGGTATTTTTTTTTTTTTTTTTTTTTTTTTTTTTTTTTTTATCGGTACCAGGGATCGAACTCACGACCGCCTGCTTGCAAGGCAAGTGCTTATGCCGCTGAGCTAAATCCCCAGGCCCCCAATCTGGTATTTTTATAAAATACAAAATTTTATATAAATCATGGGAAAAAGTACAAAAATAAAAGCTTTAAAATATCATCTCCAATACCAATATTCACAAATTATCATTGACATTAAACAAATGTTACGTATTTTTGCCCTGTATGAACGTAGCTAGAAGGAAAGCTAGAGATATAGATATAAAGAAAAAGATCCGTAACTCATTAAAATGGAGTTAAATGTAAATGTACTTGAATGTAGAGAAAGAAAACCTGCACTGAAGACATTGATTTGTTTTGTTTGTTCTGTCATTTTGTTTTGTTTTGTTGTCTTTCTGAGACAGGGTCTCACTATGCAGTTCAAGCTGGCCTTGATCTCAGTTTGTAGCCCAGGCTGGCCTTAAACTCAACAGTGATCCTCCTGCCTCAGCCTTCTGGGTGCTAGGATTATAGGTATGTGCCAGCACATGTGGCCTAGGTGTTGTTGAGCATCATATGAATATATATCTTATAAGAGATTTTGCTTCCTAAAAGGTCTTTTAAAGCTTACAGTATTTTGAAACTATAAAGGCTGAAGTTACTTTTTAGTTTAATTTAGACTTTTGGAGGCGCCTACCCCACACTGTGCACCCAACACACTTTCTTCTTGGGTAGTACATGAAGACAAGGATGAGAGCATGTTCCCACTTCTTCCCCAACTTCCCGATTCTTACTAACCTAAGGATAAGTATTAAAGTGTTCGAGTCTCAATTAAAAGTGAATGATAAGGGTAGGCATGGTGGTGACCGCCTGTAATCCCAGCACTCGGGAGGCTAAAGCAGGAGGACCACTGTGAGTTCGAGGCCAACCTGGGCACCTGAGTTCAAGGCCAGCCTGAACTGCATAGTGAAACTCTGTTTCAAAAAGACCTCTCCAAAGTGAACAACAATAGCCATTCTAACAGGTATGAAGTTTTCTCTCCAGAATGTGCAGGAAAGGAAACCAATAGAGCTAATAGTAGGGATGTAAATTGGTGGAGCTACTACGGAAATCAGTACAGAGGTGCCTCAAAAAACTAAAAATAGAACGACTGTTTTACCCAGCCATCTCATTTCTGAGCATGATACAAAGTCAGTATGTCAAAGAGATGTCTGCACACCATATCATTACAACATAATTCTTAATAGCCAAAGATATGGAGAAAACCTCATTGTCCAGTGACAGGTGAATGGGTACAGAGAATGCCATGGGCACACACAGCGCAGTAACACCCAGCCATTATAAAGGGAAGGTGCCATTCAAAATAGCGTGCATGGATGTGAGGTCGTTACACTAAATTTAGTCAGAAAAGCAAAACAGAAGGATAAAGGCTGCATAATTGCACTTTTAAGAGGTCCCTGAAATTCTCAAATTCACAGAACCAGAGTATAAAGGTGTGCATGAGAGAATGGGGGAAGCATCAGTCAGAGGATATCACAGGAGAAAGTTCTAGAATAGTAAGTCCTTTGTAAGACAGGACCCATAATTAATCATACTCTATTTTTTAGTTTTAAAATGGCATGGAGAATGGATCCTAGGTAGTCCTACTATAAAAAATAATTAAATTTTGAAATGAAGAGGGAAAAGAAAATAAAAGACAAAATAGATACGTTTTGGAGTAATGGATATATTTATGGCCTTGGGTATAGTAATAGTCTCACAAGTATATGTATATTTATCTCCAAACTCATAAGTTAGATACATGAAATAAGTACAGCGTTTTATACAATAATCATATTTCAATACAGTAGTTAAAAAGGAAAAAAGGAAAGGATATGGAAAGTAACTAATGTCAGCCCCTTGATGAATGGCTAGATAAAATGTCCTACCTGTGTTAACTGTTACTCAATCATTACTCATTAAAGAGGAAAAACACAAAGGCCAGGCATGATGGCACACACCTGTAATCCCAGCACTCAGGAGGCTGAGGCAGGAGAACTGCTGTGAGTTCAGCGACAGCCTGGACTACATAGCAAGACTCTCAAAAGCCAAGAGAGGGCCAGGGGTTTAGCTCAGCGGCATAAGCACCTGCCTTGCAAGCCGAGGTCATGAGTTCAATCCCCAGTACTACATACACACACACACACACAAAAGCCAAGGAAAAAGAAAAAAAAATAATAAAAAGGAAGAGCACACTGATATGTGTCCCAGCAACATGAATAAACCCTGAAAACATGTTAAGTAAGAATAAGCAGCCAGGAGATGCTCTATGTTGTGTTGCTCTGTTTGCATTAACTGTCTGGGGTAGGTGAATCCAAAGAGCCAAGAAATAGGTTATAACTGTCATTCTGCAGAAAAGAGTTTGGAAGGTGGCTTGTTTCTTTCTGGAGTGATGAAAATGTCCTGAAAGTAGTTGGAATCGTAGTTTCACCTCCTGAAAATTCTAAAAACTGCTAAGTTATACACTTTAAGTAGGTGAGTTATGGGTATGTGCGCTCTATCCCTGTAGAGGAAGTGGTTAAGAGTTGTTTTGACGCATCTTGCCCATACCTCACTTGTTACAACTCGCTGTTGTGTTCTGTCTTTGCCTCCCCCAAGCGAAGGCATCCAAACCCTTCAACACCCCAACCATCGTCGCAGGCCCGCAGAATGTCACCGCGGCCCTCCACCAGACAGTCGTTCTGGAGTGCATGGCCACCGGCAACCCCAAGCCGATCATTTCGTGGAGCCGTCTTGGTAGGTTCGCAGAGGAAGTCTTTGGAGTCCTTTAATTTTGTTTATTCTGGTGAAACTGGCAAGGTGCGTGTTTTAGATAAAACGCATCTGGTGGTTCCGTAACTCCTTGGGCATTGCAGTGTAGGGAAAATGCTGTACAATGGAGGGCTGTGTACTTCTGACCGACTGCTTGGGTACCCATCTCCTAACGCATCTCAGGTCATGTCTTACACTGTCTCGCCCTCTTTGGCACAGATCACAGGTCCATCGACGTCTTCTTCACTCGGATGCTTGGAAACGGCAACCTGCTGATCTCAGATGTCAGGCTGCACCACGCGGGGGTGTATGTCTGCAGGGCCACCACTCCTGGCACACGCAACTTCACGGTTGCCATGGCAACTCTGACGGTCCTAGGTATGTTTTCTTTTAGTATGTGAGTAAGAAAATATTATTTTCACATTTGCCATTTTATCTCAGAGCTTTACTTGTTCCTTTCTTGAGTTTTGTAACACTGATCTGGGTTGATAAAAGGTATCATAAAGAAAAATTAAACGCTTGTGCTAAAATATAACAGCACCACCCTCCCCAAGTCACGTGCCATTTGCACACGTGCAGTTGTGCCCCCATTAAGCCTCACTTGCTACCTCCCCTGATCTCCCGTGAACTCACCAGGCAGTGCTACAGTCTGTCGTCACCCTATTCACTGGCAGCTGATGAGGAAGGACTGAGGGTGCACACACCTTAGGGTGTCGGGGGATACAGAGACAGTCCCTTGCCGGACATGGACAGGAGGAATGTGTGGACACTTGGGACCCTCTAGCCTCTCACGCTGTGTTCCTCCTGTCGCTCCCGCTGGCACCCCAGAAATTTCTCTTGTTTTTCAAAAACAGCTCCTCCTTCATTTATCGAATGGCCAGAAAGTTTAACGAGGCCCCGCGCTGGCACCGCTCGGTTTGTGTGTCAGGCCGAGGGGATCCCCACACCCAAGATGTCGTGGCTGAAAAACGGGCGGAAGATGCACTCGAACGGCAGAATCAAGATGTACAACAGGTGCGCCCTGTAGAAGGTGCTAGCGGTTTTATGCAAAACAATTCTATTATGAAGTAAATGATCTTGACAGTTAAAGCTAAATTTAAATAAATAAGAAATTAAGACTTATAGCTCTAGCATGCCATAGATGCTTTGTGTTTTATTTATGCATAAAGTGAGTGAAGTGAGTGTTGGGTGATTCCCTGGCCCTCAGGTCTGGCCGTGGTGAGCACGAGCTAAGTTAGCACCACGCGCACAGCCGTGCTTTGGGGTCTCACCCCTGCCTGCATTGAGTGAGAAGGCCAGAAGGAAAGTTTATTCTCTGAGACTCCTCAGACTTTAAGTGTACATTGTTACTAGTACAAGTATAAATTCTTGTTACATTCTCACTTAGGCTCAACAAAGCTAAAACTTTGGTGGACCTGATTTTATATAAGTATTACAATACTTTGTGAATTGTGTGGTGTTTGAGCAATGCTGGCTCTTAGTGGAGAGGTCCTTGCTTTCGTGGTGTTGTGGCCTGAGCCATATCCCAGCTTCCACAGCCAACTTTCAAAACTAGTTTAAGTTTTCATTTAAAGCAAAGAGGCTTTGGATATCAAAATATGGATGAAAACTCAGAAAGTAAATTAGTAATTTCAAGTAAGTAATACAGAGTCCCATTAATGGGGCTGACTGTAGAGTTTTCCCTTCTCAGTAAGTGTCATCATTTAGAGCCAGAGTGTGCAGCAGTAGCTGAGCTCTATTTTTATGTCATTCTTCAAATTTTCCTTCCCATAGTAAGCTGGTGATTAATCAGATTATACCTGAAGACGATGCCATCTACCAGTGCATGGCTGAGAACACCCAGGGCTCCGTGCTGTCCCGGGCCCGGCTGACAGTGGTCATGTCGGAGGACAGGCCCAGCGCCCCCTGCAATGTGCACGCGGAGACAGTGTCCAGCTCGGCCATCCTGCTGGCCTGGGACCGGCCCCTCTACAACGCCGACAAAGTCATCGCCTACTCCGTGCACTACATGAAGGCGGAGGGTGCGCAGTTGCCGGGACCTCGGTTTTCCTCTGTGGCCGGGTGGCATTTTGGGATGAAGGGTGTCTGGCCAAAGCCCCGAAATAGTTCTCCAATTCTGTGGCACCTGCCTCTTTAATAAGAAATCTTTCACCTGTGCTTCTGTTTATTTCTCAGTGTACTGTGGTTGTGTGCTCTGTGCTGTTTAATGCAGTTTAAGATTTTTCTGTTTAGAAACTGGTTTCAGCTAAGGCAGTGCATCTCAGCCTGCTAAAATCCCCAGTGTTGTACTTAGGAATCTTTTTTTGGAAGAGGTAAATTCCTTACCTGAGCCATACGCCACTTCCACCATCAGTGACACATAGGCCGATTGGTGAACGTGCCTACGTGCAAACCGTAAGCACTGTGGCGTGTTCTTTTTAAGGGGAGAGTAAGCATGGTCAGGTTTTCCACACTGGATTCTGGGTTTTAAATGTTTTCTGAAATTGTGGAACTCGTTTGAAGCTTGAGTAGGACACTCTTTACTGATATCTGTTTACCTTATAAAAGCAAACATGAAGTCTGTCCTAAAATTCCTAGCATTATTGGTTTCATTTTTGTTTTTTAATCTTTATATGTTGCTTTTGGCCAAAACCTTAGCGGAAAAAGAAAAGCTACTTATAAATGCTAGAACTTTGTCCATCAACTTTTCATAGAATCCGTGATAGAGATTCACAGATTTTAATTCCAGACACAAACAGCCTAGCTTTAGGCAGTGTTTAGTAACACAAATTCAGATGCCCCGAGAGTGGTGTCGTGTTGAAATTGTCTTCAGAGACAGGTGTTTTGTTGTCGCTGCTGCTGTTTGTTTTTTGCAGTTTGTAGTGGGTTGAAAGGAGATTTTGAATGTAAGTCGGGTTGTGGCTGCAGGAAGAATGGAAGTGCTGTGCTAATTCCCTCTCTGGTGACTTAGCGGAGAAAGGAATGCACCCTGGTGGAGCCCACTCTTGTTCCCATCCTGCCTGTTTCATTAGCGCCTCTGCATGAGGCACAGTGGCCTATTCAGGGGCAGAACAAAGCTTTTTAATTCGAACTCAAGGACCTTGTCTGGGAGGTCAGAAATCTACTATGCCATTGCTAATTAACGAGCCATTAGCCTATCTGTTGTGAAATGCCTGTAATCTTGTCTAATTAAAATGCTATCAAGTTAATTCAGAAATGTGGGAAAAGGTAGTGCTGAATTTGCCTTCTGTTTTGTTTATGAATACAGCACCGGGGAGGACCTGCTCCACAGGGATTAAGCCCTGACAAGACAGGCTTCCTCTATACCTTGCCTTGCCTGATTTATTAAGAACTGCCGAGAATTTTTTTCTCTTCCAAAAGATCACTGTGGGAAAAGCCTTTTGGAGCACCTTCAGTGTCTTCCCATTCTTTTGCTTTTAGTATCAATAAAAGAGCAACTTGTATTCATCAGATTTAGTAGGGTCTGTGGGCCAGAGTGAGATCTTTTGCAGGACAACCTTTGGTTGTTTGTTTTTGTAAGAAGGGACTCGTTGCATTCCCTGTCCCTTCACTGATAATCAAAGGGCAAAGGGCGCTTGCGTGGAAGCATTAGGAGAATAGCCCTAGATTCGGGTCCTGGCTCTGCACGTTCCTTACCTAGACTCCACCCTGCTTGCAGCTCTGGTTGAAGGGGAAGCAGAGTTTCAGGAAGGTTCCTTCTTTTCCGTTTGATTTATTTGGGAAGTAATTTGTAGCAAGACAATTCCATCGTTACTTTTTAAAAAGAAGGACCTCTCTGTTCACCAAAGACTCTGTAATGAGTCATAAAGATAGAGATGGGGCTAGGCCCAGGAACCCAGTGTCTCAGAGCGAGAGGAAGAGTTTTGCTAACCGTTGTGAATATCCGTGATCTGTGAACACGAGTTCTTTGCTCCAGGTCTGAATAACGAGGAGTACCAGGTCGTCCTCGGCAATGACACCACTCATTATGTCATCGATGACCTGGAGCCGGCGAGCAACTACTCGTTCTACATCGTGGCCTACATGCCCATGGGGGCCAGCCAGATGTCGGACCACGTGACCCAGAGCACCCTGGAGGACGGTAGGAGCTGCAGGCGGCATCATCAGGGAGCCCGCCTGTGCCCAGTGAGGGAAAATTGCCTCCTTTTGGTTAAAAAGACGTTTAAATAGCAATCCGTCAGCAGTAGCTCACTTAGGATAAAGAATTTATGATTCATAATATAAGTTTGATGGTAAATTCTTACTGTATTTTCTAGTCTAAATTGTAAATAAGTTCTTTTTTTTACCTTATAGCACCAAAATGTAAGTTCTTCTAGGCATGAAAAAATACAAGGAATGCTACATAGTGGGTGTGTAGAGTGACTGATGGTGACGGGCTTTTGGAAGTGGGAGTTTATTGAACTTAGTGCTTCTCAGTTTTAAAAACCTTCAATTAATAAAGTAGCACTTAGGTTATCTACTAGGTACGTGTAACACTTGTTCATTTGTTACTGATCCCCTGGGCTCCAAGAGAGCAGACCCCCACCTCATACCATAGAGCTGGTGTGGGGTGCACACCTGTAATCCTGGCACTCTGGGAGGCTGAAGCAGGAGGAGTTTGAGGCCAGCCAGGACATAGTAAGACCTGGAGGGCAGGAGTTCAATCCATTAAGATTCCCCTAGAATCTTGTTGGCCCCCCTTAGGGTACTGTGGAAATGGGCTCACTCTCTCCGGGGGTGCCCATTTTCCTATTTGCTGTGGAAGGGAATGATTACACTGTTCTCTCTTTACAGATGTTTCACATCCTAGAGGAATAAAAGTACTTGTTTTCAAAATAGCATTATATAAGTAATTCCCAAATCTGTCCTTTTGTTCATTTGGTTCCAGATCTTTACACACACATTTATAATGCCACTTATTTAATCAGAGTTTCACCAAGTATCAAATTTCCACTTACTTGGGTGCTGAATTCCAACTTTGAGTTTTTGTTCAAGACTGTGCTGCAATCAGAGTGAGTCTCTGATATCTCTAGTAAACACACTGCATTTGATAACATCTGTTTTGGTATTGTCAAGGGGGAAACACAAGCTGACTTGTCATGGGGGGTGTGCGTGCGTGTGTGCATGCGTATGTGTAACTGGTAACTTCTCGTTGCTGAGTCACAATACCAAATACCCACAATGTAAAAAATGAGAGTTTTCCTTGGCTCAGGGTTTCAGTCCATAGTTGGCTGGCTCTAAGGCAGAAAGGAATGGTGTAGGGTCCTGAGTGGAAAACAGCTGCTCTGGTCTTGAAAGCCATGAAGCAGAAAGAGAAGCAAAGAGCCAGCAAGTTAGATATATACCCTTCCAGGGCCCAGCCCCAGGGACCCCCCTGCAGGTCAGCTCTACTATCTCAGTAAGCCAGGCACCTTCCAGAAGACTGGCACTTGAGCACGTGAGGCCCTTGGGGAACATCTCGATCTAAACTATAATATTCCACCCCTGACCCCCAAAAGGCTCATGTCCATCTCATTATGTAAACTGCATTTACTCCATCTCAAGAGTCATCAGAGTTATAACAGATCCAGCATTGTTGAAGTCCAACTCCACGGTCTCAGAGTCTGAGATGCAAGGAAAACTCTTAGCTCTAGCCCCCTGCAAAAATTAGACAGTTAAACATTGCTGACATGCGGTGACACAGGGTAAACATTCCCATTCCGAAATAGAGGAATAGGCGAATAGAAAGATATAAGACAAAGCAAGAACAAAATCCAGCAGGGCACACAGTAAGCATTGTAGCTCTGTGTCCAGCACCCAGGGCAAAGATGTGAACTGTGGACTGTGTGGGCAGGCCTGCCCCATGCTATTATAAATGCTGCAGCCCTCATGGCCTCTCTCCTGGGCTGGCTTTGCTCATTGCCTGCTGCTTTTTTTGGATTTCTGTGTTCCTGGCTCCTCCATCTTTCTGGAGTCTCCACTCACCTTTGTCTTCGTTCTCCCAGCTTCACCCACTGATCTCACAGGAGCACACCGCCTGGCCTCCCAGGGCTTCTTCTGAAGTCCGAGTGGAAGTCTCTGTGACCCTACAGTTCTTGCATTCTGCATGCCAGTACAACCAGTACCACATGAATAATGCCATGATTTGTTGCCACTTGAGCAGTTTCTAGACCCTTTTGCATTATAACTGCAGAGGCTTCTGAGTGCCTGGATGGCTGCGTACTGTGAATTGAATACTGGGAAACCAGTTTCCTAGGAGACCTTTCTATAGCATGGTGCACTGAGGCTGTCTTCTCAAGATGAAAGCTTTTACTTTTATACCTTTTATCCCATGCTCTTGAGGCATCTTTACTGTTTTCCTGATGTAAAGTACTTGGCTTCTTGCTAATCAGATTATCATCCTGAAAATTGGAAAAGTGGTTTCATGTTTTACATGAGTGCTACATATTCTCATTTTTACCCCAAACAGCAAGCCCTCACACATTGGTTAACACCATGCTTTCTTTGATTCCACACCCTTGTCTGCTCATGATTGTGCTTTCATTCTGTAATACTCTGTTCCTCGAACGCCTCTGTGAGAGCCAAGTGCACCTTGAGCCGTAGTAGGGATTCCTCAGGATGCCCTGCCTCTGAACAGCTTGTTTCCCTCCCACCCAGTTCCACTGAGGCCTCCAGAGATCAGCCTGACAAGCCGTAGCCCCACCGACATCCTGATCTCCTGGCTGCCCATCCCAGCCAAGTACCGCCGGGGCCGCGTGGTGCTGTACCGCCTGTCCTTCCGCCTGAGCACCGACAGCACCGTCCAGGTCCTGGAGCTCCCAGGCACTTCGCACGAGCACCTGCTGCAAGGCCTGCGGCCCGACAGCGTCTACCTGGTGCGCATCACTGCAGCCACTCAAGTGGGGCTGGGAGAGTCCTCGGTGTGGACCTCACACAAGACGCCCAAGGCCACCAGCGTGCAAGGTACTGTCCACCCCACGGGGATAGACCCAGGCAGGGCTCTACGTTCAGACTCTCTGCTCTTAGTTGTATTTTACACTTTCACTGTGTGGATAAAAATGCCCCATAGATTGTGGACTTAACTGAAAATAGTTAAACTTTTAGTAATCTCTTTTTTGCTTGTAGCTCAAAACATTTTTAAAGTTTTTATTTTTATTAGCACATATTTGCATCCCTTGTGGGTAATCGGTACATGGCAGAGCACAGCTCAATTCTCTTTTTTCCCCTTCCCCTCTACTCCCTCTTTTAAAAATTGTTTTTGCCAGCACCAGATTCAATTATTTACTTTATAAACTTTTGATTATATCATAAACTTGCTTAGCAAAATCTTTGCCAAAACGAACAGAATTACCAGAAGTACTCTGTTAGCAGAAACCCATTTAATACTAACTCAGTTTAAAAATGAGACTATCAGTTCAGAAAAAAAGGTTGCAAGAAGGGGCCACGCTCTTGCACATGGATGTAGCAGGGATTTGGCTGCTGCTGCTGCTGCTGTTCTCACAGAAGAGTATTACTGTACTGTACGAGAGTAGTTATTGCCCCTGTATAGATATCATTTTGTTATTATGTGTGTACTTAATTCCTTTGGAGGTAGTACATTTTTAATTCTGTGTCACAATCTAGTGTCATTGTGAAGTTTTGTGAATGTTAGAATTGAACGTCTTTGTCTCTGTCGGCTAAAGATGAGGGAGGCCCCTTGTTGGGCTTCCTGGGGACAGGTGTGGGTGACACAGCCCTTCCACCTGGTTCTCCAGTCCCCAGGTCTCCGGAGCTGCACCTGGAGCCTCTGAACTGCACCACCATCTCTGTAAGGTGGCAGCGTGATGCCGAGGACCCCGCGGCCATCCAGGGCTACAAGCTGTTCTACAAGGAGGAGGGGCAGCAGGAGCACGGACCCATCATCCTGGCCCCCAGCGAGCTGCTGCATACGCTCAGTGGCCTGGGTGAGTCCTATCCCGACAGCTGGGAGAGCGGGGTCGGCTCCCAGACAGGAGAAGGGGCTGGAGACAAAGGAAGGCCTGATTTTCCTGTCACACGTCCTGTGCTCTAGAAATGCTGTCTTTTGGAGTTCACTCCTGGTAGTGTGAGCTTTCTGATCAGGCGTGGGAAAGTGTGGTATGTGGAGAATAGGAATGTGGAATAGGAATTTCACCGAATGACTAATCATGAAGTGGAACTCAGAATTTCCTGAGCATGCTACACAAATATAAACTAATTTATGCAGGTTATGTACGAAATAGTACCCTTGCCTGGGATCCAGTAACTGTAAATGTTTGCCTCCTCCAACTCTGATCCAAGGGTGCTGGAGAGACCACACTTACCTCCCATTTGGGTTCCTGAGCCTTCTACCATAACTGTCCTATTCCCGGTCTCCCTGTCTGCAGAAGAGAAGAATTTCATGTCGGCATGTCTAGTCACAAGTTAAGAAATGTGTCTCTAAAGCAAGCTCCTGATCAGGTTGACCATGTATGGGTGGCGCTGCTCCCAAGTAGGTGTTCACCGTGACGTGCAGGTGTCACTCTGATCTGCCTGCTCCCAGCTGCTCCCACCCTGCAGCATCTGAAATAGTGGCAGGCACGACCTCAGCCTCCTCGCACCTCGTAGCCTCTGGCTCAGCAGCACCAGGTTGGAACCAGGCAGTGGAGCCCTGGGGTCCTGCACTCCCTGCCTGAGATTTCCAGATGGCGTTTGCTTTGTAATCTTGTTAGGTTGCTCTTTAATTTAATCTGCCTTGAGTTAAGTTAGTTTTGCTGTGGCTCCGTCGCCTGACTCTGTAACTGATGAGGAGAAGCTGCAGATGTCCCAGCTGCCCTTCCTTGGCCAGGTGCTGCAGCAGTGTCTGCGCAGCCTGGAGTCCCCAGGGTCCAGCGTTTCCTCTGCCCAGGCTCTGTAAGCCCTCCTGTCTGCCATGGTTCCAGAACATTTTACTCAGGGTCAGGAGGGAGCAGGAGTTGGAGCAGCAGTTACAAAATCACAGATCAGAGCTGTACTTCTGGTTTCCTGTTAGGGTAGAACAAATCTGTAGAAGATATGAGCGAACACATTGCTCTTTGCTGCGCTTTTCTTGAGCACACGCCCCAAGTAGCTTGTCCTGGAGAGAGGAAAGTTTATGAGAAAAAAGGGAACAGGGCTCCCTCCACCTGTGGAACCCAGAGCACCTTTGTGCTAGGCAGGCTCATGCACCTGTGGCTGACAGCTGGCTACCCTTGATGTCTTTCCACCTGAGAGCCAGGTCCTGCCTTAGACTGAGGCGGGCGGGCGCGCCAGCCCAGCTCCCAGCCGCTCCTGTGCTGCCTCTTGTCACTCGGCCGTTGACCATCTGTGACCGTCCATGCCAGAGCATCTGGTGTTCTGCCTGGTTAACGGAGAGTGATGGACTGAGGGCAGCAGGTTAAGGGAGCTTGATGTCCTCGGGTGAACCCTCGGCGCCCCCGAGCTGTTGCAGGGAAGGGTACTCCACTGGAGCTGGATTTGCTAAGTGGGCTCCGAAATGAAATTAAACACTTCTGTGTGCCAATTCACCGTCAGTCGGAGTAAGAAGCTGATGCCTTACAATTTCATTTCACGCTGGTGATACCCCGGTCACACCATTTCCTTCCACGTCAGGTAATCAGGTTTGCAATTTGAGAAGTGTGTGACTGGGACACGTGCTCCCTGGACGTAGAGATGCTTCTTTGTTCAGAAAGGAAAGAAGCAGTAAATGGGTTTTTGGTTTTCAATTCAAGACAAATCCCACATTTCTGTGTGCTTTCCTGAGTCAGGCATTGTAGGGTGCCGTGGAGCTGTGATGAATTTAGCTGCTGTGTACAGCAGGAAACATTAAAGCAGTGAATATCGCACTGAACCCTTGTCCAGCAGCTGCCCAGATTTCTGATTAAATTCATTTGTGCTGAGCAGTGAAAGTTACTTGAAAATAACTCAGAGCTTAGTTCTCTGAGCCATGGGGTGCTTTGCTTTTGAACATGGTTAAAGGGTCTCGTGTCTTTTTTAATAGTGTGATTTGGACCCTGGCCAAGCAACAAAAGAGTTTGGAGTTGCTGGTCTGCTCGGGTTCGACTTCAGAAGTGATTCGCGCTTGGGGCCGCGGTGGAAGCAAGGTTGTGTGATGTAATGTGCTGTGTTTGCTTTAGGGTCCTGCCTCTTTGTCATTATTTTCCCTTGAATTTTTTCCTAGGCACTTTGCATGGTTAGCGGGGGTTGTAAGCCAGGTGTTTGTTATATTTATCACACCATCAAATGAAGCAAAGTTCACCACACGCTTGTGCTCATTGGTAACAGACTGAGAGACAAAAAATTCCCATTTTAGAAATTGGCTTTAAACTCTGAAGTTGGAGTTTCTAAACGCGAAGGGACTGTTTTCTGACTGAATCATCTGGTCTTAGGTAGTAGAATGTGAAGGGGAAGATGATTTAGATGTTACTGTTGTTTATTTAAAATTTGGGCACTGGTGTTCATCACCTTAGCTTTTGTTTGTCAAAGAACTTGTTGTATTTAATTTCCTAGCAAGCATGATCGAGCACCAAATGTAGAGTTCCAAAATAGTTAAAAAGTAAGGTGCGTGCTTCATGCACCTGCAGAGCCCACGTTTGTTAGTTTGCTTGTTTGTTTAGAAATCCAAAATCAGAATTCCAGATACTGCGAGGAGGAATCCAAAGAAACAATTCCTGGTTAAAAATGAGATGTCAAGCCCCACCTCAATTTGTAAGGAAGTCTGCTGAGGTGAAGTTCGATTTCTCGGTGGCATATTTTGCCACAATATAATAAGGTTTGGTTGTGTGGTTTTGTAGCTCAAGAAAGAAAAGCAAGCAGACCAGCCACTGGCAGGCCAGTCCCATGGCTGAGGGGCTCGTGACTTTTCCTCTGAAGCAGAGGAGGATATCTTTGCCTGAAAGAGACTCGGTTCATCACTTTGTATTATAAACCTTTTTACAGTAATAATTTTCTTTAGGCAGGTGTGGTGGTGCAGGTGCAGGGCCTGAGAACAAAAGGCTAACATGGGTTCCTGGGCTGCATAATGAGTTCAAGACCAGCCTGAACTATCTGTCAAGAGCCTTGTCTCAAAAAACAAACAATAAGAGGCACTTTTTAAAAGAGAGAGCTAGAATCACTCAGTTTAGAAACTCAGGAGACATGTCTTAAGGACAGCCGAAGTTGTCTGAGCATCTGTGCTCCCTTGTTCCTGTCACACAAGCCTTAAATAAGGCTCAGAAGACCTCTGGTGCCAGGCCTGGTGGTGCATACTTCTAAATCCCAGCACTCAGGAGGCTGAGGCAGGAGGATCAGTGTGAGTCCTAAGCCAGCCTGGGCTACATAGCAAGTTCAAGGCCAGCCTGAGCTATGTAGTAAGACTGTCTCAAAAAAAAAGAAAGAAAGAAAAAAAAAAAAAAAAACCTTTGGAAACTCCTAGCACTGAAAACCCTTCTAATGTGGCTTTTCACAACTTTTGGTCTACACTTCCTGAGCTTGGGGCCCAGATGCACCACTTTATAACAGTCCTAGTCCTGGTCAGCTGCAATGCCTTTTGCCATCTGAGGTCTGGTTCCTGACTCACAGCACATAATACACCCCTGAACAAGGTCAGGTGTTGTTCCAGGCACTGGAGTCCGCAGAGGGACAGAGCCAACGCAGGCACCGCACATCCTGGTCCCTGCAGAGCGGCCCCACCGGCTGCCCTCATGTGGCTCAGTGTTTATTTTCTGACAGACTGTTCTTAGGGTGAGTGTGGGATTCCCCTCGCACCGTCATGTTATTTAGCAGAGGCACAGTCTCTAGGGACATACTTCACGTTTTTTGCCTCTGGAGTTCTCGCTGCTGCCTTCCACTTTCAGTAGTAGAAATAGTTTCTCTGAGCAGTGGTTATGCTTTTTCATTCTTTCCCTTCAAAGAGTTATAATGGATTTAACTGAAGTCAGGAGATTTCATACAGACTTGCTCTTGTAGGTCAGAAAACTGAAGGTGTGAGGGAAAATTGTGACATAACAAAAGTAATAGTCATAAGTTGCAGGTCACTGGCTTATTAGATATTTACCTTTCTTTCTTTTTGCCTTGTTTCTTCTTTCTTTCTTTCTTTCTTTCTTTTGACAGGATCTCATTTTGTAATTCAAGCTGCCCTTGAGCTCACTATGTAGCCCAGCCTGGCCTGGATCTCTCATTGATCCTCCTGCCTCAGCCTCCCCAGTGCTGGGGTCACAGACATGTACCACCACATCTGGCTTATTTCCCTTCTTGTGCTGCATTTGATCTGTTACCAGCCAGAGCGAGTCAAAGCTGGAGTGAAAGCATCTGAAAGTTCTCACAGTATTTGCATTGCCAAGTATGATTGAAGTTTAGAACTGAGTAAATACTTGAAAACTATAGAAGTCAGTATTTCAAAAGAAATGGAGCATTTCCTTCTTTAGAAAAACCCTGTTACTAAAACAAATGCTACTAAGACAGTATACAAACAAGCAAGCAAAACAGGATTTTTCATTTGCCAAATGCGGTCACACCATTTAAAGACAGGATGTTTGCAGGCTGCAGAAACTGCAGGTTCAACACAGAATGTACAGAGGCGCATTAGCTGGCAGTTTCCCTTCCATTCTTCATCTTGAACACTAAAAGGTCTCTCCCATCCTAAAGTACTTTGCAGCTGTTGGGGCATTCAGGTCACCAGCCCTTGCGAACCTAGATGTTCTACACAGGGTCCTGGGCGCCAGCTTGGGGAGCAGCTGCCTGCGATGGGGCTTGGTCTTGGCTGCCTGGATTTGACATCAGACTCCATAGCTTATTAACAAATCACATCCTGGCTAGTCACCTCACTTTTCACATAGGAATAATAATAACTTTTAAACCAGGGCTATGGCTCAGTGGCACAGTGCCTGTCTGGCAAGTGTGAGGTTGTGAGTTCAATTCTTGATACCAAATAATAGCAATTTAAAAATGATAGGAGGATGAAACGTGGGTG